TTGCCTGTTATCTTTCAGGCTCCCAAAGTTCATATTCTGAACTGGAGGGATCCTGGCAAAGTGGTTCCTGTGGTGCTCCGTGGCGTGGCAGAGCCAGGGCTGTCACCCCCACGTGCAGACATTACCAGCCTGCACCAGCCTCTGGGCTTTCAGCTGGAGTGAAGAAACTGGACAGGTGGGGACAAAAACCTCTTAATTTACTTCTTAATGACCTAAAAATGCTAATTCAGAGACTCATTAAAGCTGGTATTATCCCTACCTCTATTCTGAAAAGCAATGAACCAGTTTAGAAAGCGGCACATCCCTACATGCCTTCCCAAATCATAGAGATTAGGGACCATCACTCTGGATTAGGCAATGGATTACAATGTGGAGAAAAAAGACTTGGCTGGTAGGGTTATGTCAAGAAAAGGAAATTATGCTGTTTGATTGATGCACCCAGTTAAAACTGTCTGAAAGAGCTCAAAATTCAATCACAGGCACGGGGAAGTGCTCACAAATGCTCTGAAGAGCAATAACTGTTCATACAAATTATTTAGGAGAAAATTTGTAGAAGAAAATGTGCTGGAGAAAACTCTAAACTTTTCACAGTCGGTTCTGGAGTAGAAACTGCCAAAAGTCATTAAATTATTCACTAACCATCATTTGTTCTGCTCAGTGTATAACAAAAGTTATTGATTAGGAAGTTTATAGGAGTTGGATGTATTTACAGAAATGTGTTTCTCTTCCTTCTTGTTACTTTGTAGCATGTTGGGATTTTCTTAAAAAAAAAATGCAGCTGGATTAAGTTGTGCATTATTTATGGCAAATGCTCCCTGCTCAGACACTGAGCTAATGGGGATGGCAACATGAGAATTTTTTAACTATTCAATATTACATTTCATTTTTCAAAATGAACAGCCCTTGCCTAAAAAAATACTTTGAAGATAGCAAGCCAAGCAAAAATCATAGACATGATACTTATAAAAGAGTAAAAGCTTTCAGGTGGATATTTATCAAAATCTTTGTTGTTTGAAAAGCAGGATTTTTTTTTTTTTCTTTTTCCTCTCTTTACTTCAGTACAGCAGAACTTTCCCCAGGTGGGATTCAACAACTTTTTACCTTAGAGCACCACAAATTCTTGACTCTGAGACTGGGCAGTGTTGGGTATCATTTATTATAAGTCCTTGGAAGTGGCTGGCACCAACAGAGGGATCCACTTGGCCATTAATGAATTAATTTCTATAGCAGGAGATCAGAAAATTTTCACTGTTCACTAACAGAGACAAAAATGCCTCATCTTGAGCAGTGAATTCCAAGTGTGTAGGAGGAGGTTTCCTCCCAAAGCCACAAAATGTAAATCCCTATTTCCAGCTGTGCAGAGGTGCAGGGTTCCTGCAGCACTCACTGAGATTAGGAAGAGACAGGAGTGTGGCCAAATGTCTCATCTGACTGGTGTGGGATGGAAGTGGAGAGGCAAGTAGGACGAGGAATGCTCACCCTCTGATTACTCTGATCTGGCATATGTTTTTAATCTCTTGGAAGGAATGGGAGAGTTTAAGCCTCAAGAGGATTACTGTGGTAGTTTTCTGTTATTTGTGCTTTGTAAATGCAGGCTTCATGTTTTAAGTGCCTTACCCTGTCCCAAATCTTCCAAACTTCGGCATGCTGTTATTTATGTATTTGGCCCCTATGCAAAATCAAAAGTAGTAAAATTCCTTTGGAGTATGGATGAAAACCCAGACTGTGGGTGTGGATCTGTAACAAGCCGATCTGTGATTCTAAAACTCCTCCAGTGGAGTGCCTGTGCTGCAGATCTCAAAGCAGGAGGTGCCAGACTGTTCCTGAGAATCTGTGACTGCCAGCTCAGCACACAGCTATTGTTACACAAGAATATGCAAAATAATTTGGGCTGATTTCAGTGTCACTTCTGGGAGTTTCTGTGCTGGCAGCCACAAATCCTGGATGCTGAATGCTAACATATGCCAATATGGAAAAGGCCTGTTGCTTTCAGTGTAAATAATTTTACAGCCTTTATTTCCTGCAGGCTGACACGATCCACTGTGGCAGCACCAGGAGAACTCTGGGCACTGCTCAGTGAAGGGCTGGAGAAAGTTGATGACTAAAAATGACAAAATCATCTCCTTTTTTACGTCTCGTCCCTTTTCCAATTACTTTGGGAAGGTTCTTACATTGTAGTGCTAAGCCCTTTTTCACCAGCGGTCTGAAGGCAACAGATGTTTGAGTGTTGCAGATTATTTAGACAATTTCTTTCTAGTTCATAATTGCTGAAGCATCAGCACAAGGAAAATGCAGAGTTGTGCTTACCAAGGCTTAGGGTTGAGATTCAGTGTTCACAACTGGAGTTGCAGGAATTAAGCAGAAGTGATTTTTAATGAGGAATTGCAATTGGTTCCTTGCTCCCTGGCCAACTGAAAAAGACACAGAATCAATCAAAACTCAGTGCAAATTATTAATCTGACTTGACTGAGTTTAGCACAAACAACCCAATGTAGCAGCAATAAAAGGCCCTTTGCTCTGAGGGGCAGCAGAGCCCTGAACCCAAAGCACAGCTGAGTTTAAAAGCTCCAGTTTGGGTCAGGTCCTTTCCCATCCCAGCTAAAGAAACACTTGTAATTTCCCAGACTCTGCAGGGGCTACAGTGGGTGTTTAATGCAGGGAAAATCTGCAGGAACCACCAATATTTCACACCCCATCTTAAAAAAGGTACCAAGCTGGATTAGAATAATGAATCTTTCAGATGAACAAATGTTCAAATCCTGGCACTGTGCTGGTGAGACAGAGGTTTAATGAACTCTTTAGAGGTGGTATAAATTGGCTTAGCTTCAATGGAGCCCACAAAAAAACTGACCCTGTCTTTATATAAATTTACAGTAATGATCTTCCTCTCTTCTGTTGGAAAGCTTTTATCCTCAAAAGCCATGTTCCGTGTGAATTATCTTCATCATTTTCCCCTATTTTAATCTATGGGCTCTGGCCTCTCTATTTAAATGTAGCACTTTCTATCAGAAAATCGGGCAGTGCTTTCTAAGGGTAGCTCATGCATTGAATTCAGCTGTCACAGCTACTTGTGCTGCCTTGGGTAATTGGTTCCTCACAAATCTTTATCTAAAATATAAAGGCAAATAATGATTAAAAACCTTAACCTAAACGGAAGCAATAAATTAGCTCGCAAATTTCTTTTACTGCTGCGTTTTGCTTGGATTTACTCAGCCCATAAATCAGAGCTGAGAGGGAAGTTTGCAGGGTGATGGTCATGAGGGGCTGAGCCTGGAGCCATGAATGTTAAAGCTGAGGAGGCTGAACCAGAAGGGATCCAAACTCTCCTCCACACAGGGTCTGCAGGTTCTGCTGCTTTCTCAGGATCACAGGACTCTGTCTCACATTTTTAACACCTGTGGGATTGTTTCAGGGATAATTTTTTAACTGTAGGATGGGAGGAGTTGGTGGGGGCTTGGCTTTCTCCAGTGAGGATAGTTGGAGCCACCACTCAGACCACAGGACAGAAGGATTTGGCTTCCTCTTTAGTCCCTTTGGTTTGAACTTGTATTGGGAAGCAGGGGTAGAAAAGGGCAGGAAAAGCAAATGAAATTATGGCTGAAAGAATTGTGGGGGAGTTTCAGGCAGGGCAAGGCAGAGGGTCTTGCAGACCTCCTGTCTCCTAAAGAACATTTCCAGGAATTGTCCAACCCCCAGACTGTAAAGCCTTGGGAAAGCAAAGATTTGGGCTGTAAATACTTTGGAGAGGTCAGCTGATGATTCTGACTTCGAAGCTGCTGTTTGATTTGTCCTCTCAGTGCAGTGGGTCCTTGCCCCTTGAATCTGACTGAACTCCATGTTTGACGAACCAAGTCCCGGGATTGTCTCATAAAGGTCACTCGAGCTCCTGGGTGCTCTTTCAACCTGCAAGGCTGATAAGATCCATAAAATAAAGGTTTGCTTCTGGTCCTTAGTACTGCTGGCTAAAAGCAATGGAGACTTCATGAAGCTGGCACCAGGAATGTCACAGGCTGTGGAATTTGTTCACCTCAGGGCCAATTCTCAAGCCTGCAGCAGTCCTGTAGGTGTATGGTGTGGCTTTGCCTGAATAAAATGTGCTAAATTCCTCATGTCCTGGAGGATTTGGGCACCCAGCTGTGAGGGACTGGAAAGATGGATATCATGAGACATTCTGGGGATTAGGGGCAGGATGAGCCTCATCCTGCTCCACACCCCATTCCCAGAGCTTTATCCCAGCCTGGCAGTGTCCACCAGCCCCTGGCACAGCTGAGGCAATGTCCACACCTGCCCTTGGGAGCCCCAGTCCAGTTCCTGAGGGGCCAAATGTGAGGGAATCTCACCTGGGGGAAGGGCCTGGGAGGGCCAAGGGGTAATTAGGGTGCCTGTGTTGGCCCTGTTGCCTCTTGCAGTTCCTATCACCTGAACAGGGCTGGAACCCAGGGATTGGTAGCTGTGTGTGTGTGGCTTTTTATATCTTTTCTGTCTTTCTCTCCTCCTTCTAATTCCCTCTTCTTTGAATTTTTAGGTAAATTAAAATGGGCTTAGTTTACTAAGTTAATGCTTTCAGGAGTGTTTTATGTTGATTGAATGTTGCACTAAACCTTTTGCCACAGTTCTCTGATTTTCTGAAGTTGCCAGTAAGGTCTTTGGTGTTGTTTTGCCCTCTGGAGGATTATCTTGTCAGTATTCCCCCCACCATGTGTCTAACTCAGAGTACTGGTACCATTGTAAGTCCTTTTAAAAGCCTCATCAGGTGACTTTTCTGGGATTGAGGATAGTTGCAACTAGGAGTAAGTCCTTGTTGGAATATCCCTGTATTTTTTAAATACTGTACTGAATCTATGTTCTCTGTTATGGAAGTTGGTCAAGGAGTTTGTTTTCTGGCATTTTTTCCTCTGCATCTCTATTATATTTTGGCAGTCAAATTTTTCTTAAAGTACTTGTCAGTTAAAAATTCAGGGCTTTTGTTCTTATACTGCACCAGCACTTGGAGAACAGGGTTGTTGGTGTGTTAAGATGTGAATCTGTATTTCAATAGTGTTGCTTGAAGATCAGCTTCAGAAAACACATGTTTTTCTGGACATGGAGTGCCTTGTTCTTTACAGCAGCTGTTCTGTAAATGCAAAGTTTTTAATTATGTCTAATAGCAGATTCTTAGACAAATTCATCCATTTTAGCCAACAAACATTTTGTAATACCAGAGAAGATGAAATAACTGGATTTTCCCTTTCTATCCTGGGATAAGATTTTTGCCTCCCAGTATTCAAAATCTTTTTTCCTCAGAGGGAAATGCTATTCTAGAGTTCAGTAAACTGATGACACAAACTCTTTAAAAACTCCTTGACACCAGTTTGTAGTGGGTTTTGTTGCTAACTCAGAATGGTCTCCATGGTTCCCTCAGTCTCTGAATTCCTCTGTGATGTCAGAGCATTTATCCATGTCTTTCGCCATGTAAATTCTGTATCATGTATAGCATTAGACTGGTGTGAGCTGTGATTTATGTGGTTGCTGTAGCTAAAGCATGAGAAGGAGGAGCCAGTATTTAACTTGCTCGCATTCCTCTGTCCTAACACAGAAAACCTTTTATATACAAATCTTTCAAGTACTTGTGGCTCAGGTTCTGCATTTTCCTTTTTTTTGGGTTCTGAATCCTGCACACCAGCCCTGGTCAGCCTGACTTCCTATTTCTGCCACCTGCGCTCCACAGTACAGATTCTCCAGAACTTCTTGAGCAGAAATCCTTCTCTATAAATCTGATGCCCATCAACACCTGAAATGTGTTGTTCTTCTCCCTGACTTGTAAATACTTTTAAAAGCCATTTTGCCATTTATGTTCCCTGTGCGCTTGTTCCAGTGCAGGTCTGCTGTTTGTGTTTTCCAAGTCACTTCTTTTGATCTTGCAGTTCAAATATCAGCAGATCAATTGAATGCTGCATTCTCAGTCTCTGTTACAAATTCCTCTACAAACTTGGCAAAATCACTGGATTTTTCTGTGTTCTGTTTGTAAGCTGTGAAATGGCACCTGAATCTTCTTTTGTGGTACTTTTCCCTTATTAAAGTAGTGTGTGTGACCTTTGCTGAATTACAAGCTAAAACGTTAAAAACAGTAATCGGGGCCTGGTATTGGTGGTATTGCTTGCTTCACATTCAGTGAGATGGAGCAGGGCACAGCTGCTCGTTGCTTTGCTACAATTTCCTGTAAATTTAAGCCTTACATTCATTTCTTTGGGTTAGCTGATTTCTCTTTTCTTTGTTTTTCAGGAATGCCAGACCTCATGCAAATCATGTTAGGGTGTTCTGGAGCAGCACTGGTGCCTCTGCCCCGACACTGCAGCTGCCAGGGGGTTGTCCCTCACTGCCCCTCACTGTTCCTGCTCCATCCGGAGCGTTTCCACCTGTGCTGAGCAGGACGTGGTGCTGTCAGGGAGACAAGAATCCTGACCAGCTCCCTGTGCCATGGTTCCCACCTGAAAGGTGAGTAAAAAGTTGTTCCTTCCCTCTATTCTTTGACAGCAGTAAAAATATTCCAGATTAGCTTCTGTGGTTCTTTTTTTGTGGGAGTTTCCCAAAGAGGCTCATGCCCACACAGGGCTGTAGGAGAAGGAATCCTTCCCTCTGGCTTTGTGCAGTCTTCGCACAATGGGATGCTGAAAATCCCCCAGTGCTTTATAGACTAACTAAAGCTAATTCTATTTGTCTTTTAATTGAACCCCTTTGGGGCAGCAGCTGGAGCTGTTTGTGGATATTCATTACTTTTTTAGTGCCCTCTCTCCTGAGTTTAGCTGGCTCCTTTTTTGGCACATGCATGTGGTTCAGCAAACAGTATTTCCCTGTCACTCCAGAGCAAGTTCTGGAATGAGCCAATTCCAGCTGCCTGGGTAGGGGAGCAACCTTTGGCTGGGCATGGGAAGTGGTGCGTGGGCTTGAGAGCTCTTGAGGGGAGGCTTCAGTGTTTGCACCAAAGAAAGTCTCAGCTCCCTTAAAAGAATTAATATTTATTGTGTAGGAGATTCTGAGTAACTTGGAATGGCTGATGAGAGTGTGGAGATGAAGTTATTTTGTTTCTATAGAGTATCAGGAATGTTCTTACATCCTTTTCCCTGAAAGCACATTCTGAGTGTTGGATGCTGATTTGGTCCCACAGCTCCTGAGAGACCAGTTCTTTCTGGGAATATCCACATGGACACATCCAGTGTGAAGAAAAAAGCATAGTCTGGCTCCTCAGGTTGGGGAGAGGCTGGTTCACAAGTAACCATGGCAACCAGGCTGTCACTGGGAGCATCAAGACATTTTCATACCAAAAATAAAAAAGCCCAAACACACAACAGACATTCCTTCTCCAGCCAATTTGGAGATCCTATCATCAGTTGTGTTCCTCAGGGATGCTGGCAGCAGCGGCAGGTAAAGAGAATTTTCCTTCCCCTAGCTCCTGCATCAGCAGCAAATGTTGTTTCTGGTGATAAAACCTAATAATGGCTTCCAATTAAAAGGGGATATTTGAGTTTCAAGTTGAAGAAACACTGAAGATGATTTTATGTTCACCTTAAAAGTTTCCATCTGTCACACACTTCCCAAGCCAGTGTGCTCACATCAATATTTATAACACCCAGCCCAGTGTTTTCACAGAAAAGCCATTAATACAACATATCAGCTCTGGTGACAAGTTACATTTTATTGCTGTCAACAAACAAAAATGTTCTTTGTCTGCAAACTCCCCTTTTTTCCCTTTTAAAAATCAACCATTAGATTTGAGTTTTGAAGTAAATGTGTAGATGTGCTTTCCAACGTTCTCTGGAGGCCTACTGGAGACATGACAGATGGAGCTTGTAGGAGCTGACGGAAGGCACTGATTAGTTTTCCTAAGAGATGAAGTAACAGTTTTGGTTCTTTGCTTGGGATGATGAAACTCATCAAATTCCTAAGGAGAAACAGGGAACTTCAGGAGGTGAGTCTCCAAAAAAAAGATTTAATTTTGAAAACACCTCAGAGTATTGATCGCGGCACTATTTCTCCAGTTTAATTCCATTTGTATTTTTTCCCATTGTAAATGGGACAGGGGCCATATCAAAGCCACAATATTTGGGAGTCTTATGTCACTGCATTGTAGAGGCACTTCCCACTTCCAGGTATCTCCATTCTGCTCAGAGGGGCATCCCCAGGACTCTGCCACAGCTCCTCACACCTCTCTCCACCACTCACCCCTGCAACTTGACATGAGATCATACAAGGAGCCCTCTGGAAAACGAGTGTTTGGATGCACTCTATGAACCATGTCAGTGTTTCTTTTTCTTCCCATGCCAATGACTCTGTTAAGAGGGTTATCAGCATGTACAGAAATGTAAGTGGATTTTTTTTAAACAAAAACAAGTTTAAAAAAGTTATTCATACCAGTGGAACTAGTCAGCTCCAGTGGTTTTAGTTGGATCTAAGCAGCAGTAGTGAAAAATGGAATATCTGTACCAAACATGTCAGCTCTGCAGCTGGTTAATGGAACTGATAACTGTGTAACAATCCCCTGCTAATACCCAATTTTAAAACCACTTAAAATCAGATAAAATCACTCCATTCCACAAAACTATCCATTGAGTCAACTGTGCCTTATTGTTCTAGAATTCCCCTTTCCAGTCCTTGTGGAGCTGTCCAGCTGCCAGATCTGTTACAGCAGCCAAATGACCTGCACATACCTGCTGTTATTCCTTACCATGGACTCTGAGGGAAAGGTGGGAGCACTGAGAACAGTCCTGAGCTTCCATTGAATTTTAGAGCTGATTACAGAGATTCCCATTTCTCTGAAGGAAGAGTGTGTCATCCTTGGTGTTCTGCCAGGTTCTGTTTAATTGCTCTTTATTAAGAGCAGCCCCAGGCACTAGATAATCCATACGGAGACTACAATCCATCCTGACCGAGCTGCATCCCACAGCTTGGGAGGAACCTGCTGCAAGGCTCAGCCAGGTAAGATTCTCTCAAAGGTGCAGAAAAACCAAATGCAAGGTGGTATCCTCATGAGAGTAAAGGAGCTCATGTTTTTCATTTTCTGTTCATCAATTTCCTCTCTCATTCTGCCATGTGGTGCATCTCTCATCTAATTTGGAAAAGCAAGGGAGAAATGGAAACACACCCAGAGATCAACAACACTGTTCTGACAGTGCCTGTGATGGGATAATGATCACCCTCACTGTGCTCACTCATTTGGCTCTCATTTGAAGGTCAGGGCTTTGAGTATCTCTGTGAACAATGCACAGAGCTATGACCAAAGTAGGGGGGAAAATTCTAGACTAGGATCAAAATGTGGAACTCTTAAAAATCCTCTGAAAGTCCTAAGAGTCCATAGCTGTCCATATATAAACTGTAGTTGTAATTTGTGTAGCCTGAAGGACTGGCCAGTCCATGAGCTGTTGTTCCAGTAGTATAGACTGCAGGCATCTCAGTGGTTCATCCAGCTGCAGCTGACTTTAAATCAGGAGCTGGTGACCTCCCGAAAATACCCTGGAGATTCCAGCTTTACTGAGCTCAGTATTAACTCTCACTGAATCTGAAGGCATTAGGATTGTGTGGCCAGTGCCCAATATGGTGACACTCAGAAATAATTTAAAAAAAAAAAAAAAAGAAATAATTTTTTTCCCTTGTCTACTTTCAGTTTAACAGCAGCAGCACAGTGAGGAAATGTTGTATTTGTGCTCTTAGCTGGATGTGCCATTGGGTATTTTGGTTATCAGTGTGGAAAAAAGCAATTTGAAGTAATCTACTAACAAAATAATTTTGTAGGTGTTTTTAATGTCTTGTTTTAAGAAAGAGAGTGGCTGAAACTTGGATTCAAGTAGCAAATGCAATTTCCTGTCCTGAATGGCAATGCCAGTGTGGTAATTAGACCATGAAGGACAATGCTAATTTTAAGGTGTATGTGGGTGGAGAAAAAAAAATATTGAAATAATCAACATGTGAAATCATAAGTGAATCCAGTTTCCTTGGCAACTTCTACTGTGCAGCCTGAGTATCCCTGAGAATTTCACTTGGAAGCAATGGGCAGCAGGTACTTACTGGAAATGGGAATGCTTTTGAGGGAGAACAGTGGGAAACTCTAGTTCAAACCTGTTTTACATCTGGTTCTGTTCTTCCTATCAAACTCTGTATCATTGTTTTCACTTCCCATTGAACTGTTGGCAGTTCTTTTCCCTGGCAGAGGTGGATATGGCACTGGGAAGAGCAGTGGGTAAGTTTGTTGAAGTCCCTTTTTTTCATTGGGAAACTGAATGGTCATTAAATCATGCTACATAAATAGTTACAGCAGAAGAGACTTTGGTTAGAGATAGGCCAAAAGCAGCTGAAAAAATAATAGAAAAATATTTTGCTTTGGTGTTTCAGATACAGCAGTCCCTACAACCATGCTCTGGGCTGATGTCTTCATCAGTCCCGCTGCTTCCAAGCACTAAATCATCACAACTGAAGCATCAAAAAGCTCACAAGGCTTAAGAAAAAGCGGAAATGTTGGGTTGTTTAGCTTTTCCCATCCATCATTTCAATCTTTGCATGATATCTTTAAAGATTTTCTGTTTAATAAAAATGGAATTGCTCTGCAATCCCATGAGAGGTGCTTTCAGGGAGAAAGTAAAATTGCAAGACCCTAAAAATTACAAGGAATGACAATGAAGTTGGGTTACAGATTTAATTGTCTTTAATTGTAAAACCAGCTACTGGAACAAAACCTCAAATGTAGCTAAACAATACTGCAAGTTAAAGGGAGTTCCTGAGGAGGGTGGTAGTTGTTATAGGGGATCAGGAAAGGAAAAAGGGATGTTTAAGCTAAAAGAGGAAAAATGGAATAATTTGCTTTATACATCTCCACATAAACACAATTATATATATATATTTATATGTGTATATAAATATATAAATACTATTGCCCACTGTAAATCTTTTTAGATTTCTTGTACAAAAATATCATTATTGGGATTAAAAGTTTAAAACTCTTTAATACTCTCTCTTCCCTTGCCTTTCCTGTGGTATCTGCAATAAAAGTGGAGCTAATTCTGTTTCATGTTTGGACACACATTTTGATTTGACCACAGGAAACTGCCACAGCACTGGTGCAGGAGGGGTTTCTTGGATGAGTATCCCAATGTACTTCCCAGGAGCAAAATGCCTCTGGAAAGAACAATGCCAGCTCAAGCCAGAAGCGCAAACTTGGCACATGGGCTCAAAATCACTTTTCTGTGTTGGTTGTTGACAGCAGCAAAGTCTCTGCAGGAGCTGGGTGTGCTGAAAAGGACAATTTGTTGTGAGTCTAGAGAACTGTGATCAGGATTTACAACTCCAGTGCATCCTTGACATAGCCAACACCAGATGTTAAAAGAAGGAGTTTGTGAGGTATTTCTTTAGTTTCTCCAAGGTGCTGGTACCAGATCTAATGCCAGCTGCTCATCTTAATATGAATACTTCCTGGTGTGTTAACTCAGCCTAATCCCCCAAAATAGCCACTTTTTACTGTAATTTAAATGTGACCTTTGTGAGCAGAGTATCTGAGAACACAGGGAGGTTAATGAATTCTGTCTTTTCTCACCAGTGTGAGGCACTGAAGTAATAATCTCTCATTAGAGAAGGGAAAAGAGAGCACACATCATGTTCAATATTTTTAGCCTGTGGCTGAGCTGTGAACTGAGCCCGGCTCTCCAGAGCCAGGCTCAGAGCTAAAGCAAATAGGTCACTCTTGCTCTCACCAGACCATCCATGGGATGAATTGCAATGCACATTTCAGAAGCAGTACAAGTTTTTGAATCCAGGATCCAAATTTGCCCCTGCAGATTTTGCCTTCCTCCAGCTCCCAGGGTGTGGTGTCATGTTTTAAGGAGTGCCAAGGTTCTGGGTTTGCTGGGGGAAAGCAGTGCTTGGGGCAAAGACAGCAGAGGCTTTTTGTCTCTGAAACCATTCTGTGTGGCTCTGGGCCAGAGGAAACACCTCTCTCATGACAGAGGCAATGCTGAAACACTTTGCACAACCTTCCTATTACCTCTGGGGCTTTGTTAACTTGTGAAAACACTTGCAAATCAAGTCAAATTATTTTGCTGCTGCATCCCGTAGCACAACCCCCTCCCAGGTCATTGCAGAGCAGCACATCAGGCACAAGTCTCACCCTGCTGGCATCACAGCAGAGTGGGGCAGGACCTACAAAGCACAAAGAGTGATCCTCTTCCCTTCTTTCAATTTGCTGTTTCCAGTTTTCCTTCCTTCTGCTTCTGCCCTTCCATCCTTCTTTCTGTTCTTCTCCCATCTTCCATCTGTCTTTACATCAGCCTTTCTCCTTCCTTCCCTTCCATCTCTATGTCCTTCCTTCTGCCACTGCTTCCATTTGTCCTTCCTCCTTCTGTTCCTCCATCTTTCCATCCATTTTGCCATGTCTATACATGTTCTTCCTTCTACCCTTCCATCATCTTTTCCATCTATTTTGCCTTCTCTCTGTCTTTGTCTATACATGTTCTGTCTTCTACCTTTCCATCCTCTTTTCCATCCTTCTATTCTTCATTCTGCACTCCACTCCTTCCTTCCTCATTTTGCCCATGCTTCCATCCCTCTGTTCCACCAGTCTTATTTCTATCTATCTCCTTTTCCCTTGGTTTGCCCTTTAGTGTCCCTTTATGTCCCTCTTTCCACCCATTCTTTCTTCTTTCTGTTAATTATCCTGTTTGTCCTTCCTTCCTTCCAGCTGACTCTCCTGCTTTTTTTACTTGTGTCCATCCATTCTTAAGTCTGTCCCCCCTTCCATCCATTCTCACCTTTATATACCCATTATATATCAAATCCATATATTTATAGTGGCTAAAACTGACCCTTTCCTGGCCAGCAGCAGCAGATCTCCATTTGTGCTCCATTTGGGGGTTTCTGTGTGTCCAGCTGTACTTCCCTCCTTCTGTCCCTTGTCCTGATGGTGGCACCTGGGGGCAGCTAAAGGGCCTTTTCCCACTGCTGCAGGATGAACTCCATCACCACCATGCAGAGCACACATGGAGTAAGAAGGATTTGATTTTCATGCAGGGACAACAAGTTCTGTGCTACAATGCCAATTAGTGCAAATCAGTTCCCAATTAATATTCTGCATGACTCCCTGCCAGCCCCCCACTGTCCCTGTCCACATTCCTCTCTAATGCAGCTCAGGTGAGGAGAGAGCAGCATCAATAGTGTGGATTCAGGTAATGCGTGCTTTTGGCAAGAGCCCCAGCAAGTATTGCTCCCATCCATCTCCCATTACTGTGCTGACACCTTCAAATGGCAGCAGCCTTTACAAGCTGTGTTGGGAATTATCCTGCACCTGCTCGCTAGAATCACTGTACATGTGTTTATCCTTTCCTGCTCCCATCTTTGTACCAAACTGATTTGCCAGCAAGGGGGGAAAAAAGGCATTTGTCAACACACCACCATTTTGTGCAGCAGTCCAGCAATTCTGAATGGATTCTGTCAGGATCAGATACCCAATATTGTTCATCCAAGAAAAACAAAAGAGAAGAGCCCAGGAGTGATAATCTGCAATAGTTTACTGCACACACACACTAACACCCCCCGCCCCCTGCTTTTTCCCAGCCATAGATTGTAAATGACACTGGTGGGAGGAAAAGGTTTTTCCTCTCTTTGAAACAATTCTCAATACTTGTTCTGACTTACAGGAACTACATTGATCTGCCAGTCATCCTGCTCCATTTGGAGTGATAGAACTGCAGAAAAAAAAGCTTTTGTTTAATTGGGAAAATACTGTATTTTTCCTTTAGGAGAGAGCTGAGATATGAGGGATATTCTTCCTGCAATAAAATGACACTGGCAGGTGAAATCCTGACAGCAAAGCCCTAATTCAGCACTTGCTTAATTCAGCTGACTAAACAAGGCCCTGTGCTGAGCTGTGAGCACTGCTGGTGTCCCACGCTGAGACCCAGTGCACTGAGAGCAGTTTTTGTGCCCAGACAGATCCCTGGCATTGAGCTGGGCACGGGCTCTGAGAGGATGTGGAACTTCCCTCACAGCCACCCCGGTTCTGGACTGCTCTCAAAATAAAGGGGTTTTCCCCTTCTTCTGGTCCTGAGTGGGGACTTGAAGCACTGATAGCCATTCCTGCCCTTGCCTCAGGCTACAGCTGTGCAGTGCCCCATCCATGTGTTAGCCTCCTGGGCAGGGGCAGCCAGCTGGGAGGGACCAGCTGCTGAGGACACTCGGGACACAGGGACAGCCCAGGGTGAATGTGCCAGATGGTGCCTGAGCTCCCCAGGGCCCCAGGCACTGTTTGGGGTGACAGTGTCCTCAGGAATTCTGCTGTTCTCCTTGCCCTGCCAGCAACTGAATTCAGCACTTCAAGAGAGTGACATAAAACCAACCTGTACCCCCAAATGCATGGGGGGGAGCTCCCATGCATGACCCTGGGACTGCATACTAAACAAGACCATTTAATTAATAATTTCTGGGATGTCTGTGCTTAGGTGCCAGTCCCAGCACCTTCATCTGGTAAGAGCTTTGGGAAATGTTTGTTTTTGTTGCTGACCTGGACTATGTTCCCTGCGTGGAATTGCTGTAGGTCTTGTGCTGAACATGCCACTGGTGTCACTCTCAGGT